TATATATATATATATATATATATATATATATATATATATATATATATATATATATATATATATATATATATATATATATATATATATATATATATATATATATTTACCGCCGTGAACACAATATAAATACAGCAGGAACACATTAAGAGATTGCATTCGGTAGAGCTTGCAATATACTCGGCATCGTAGTTGTCATATCGCGTACCTGATATTGTCAGATTCTGTACCACTATTGACTGACAATCATTCCACCATCACGAGCTCACTACTTACCATAATTGGCGCAGAGGTCGCGTTCTGGATCAAAGGCAGCCCCTTGAAGGATGGCTGCGGGAAACGCAATCTCATTCCGCAGAGGTGAGTAGTAGGCATTGACCATCTGAGGAGGCATACTCCATCTATTTAAGCCAGCAACGAGGGTATGTGAGTGTACAAGCGAAGAGAGTATGTGAGTGTACAAGTCAAGAGAGGATGTGAGTGTGTAAGTCAAGAGAGTATATGAGTGTATAAGTCAAGAGAGTATGTGAGTGTATAAGCGAAGGGAGTATATGAGTGTATAAGCGAAGAGAGTATATGAGTGTATAAGGTTAGACAGACCCAGTTGAAATGGGGTGTACAGGTTTGTTTATTACAGCAGCTGATACGCCATCCGATGAGTGTACGTAAGCACTCGGTACAACAAACACTATGGGGCGAAGACCACAGCAACTCACCAACACACAGCCCATGCGCCAGTTACACACTCAGTACAACAAACACCCTTATCTCTATACTAAATATGGACGTACTTGTATAACAATAAACGTACTTGTCTCGGTTGGTGGGTTTGTTCGCCTGTCTCCAGTCGCGATGGTGTTCCATAAGGAGTATCTGCCGCACGACTGAGATGACACTGTCGTTTGCCTTGGGCGTCAGTTCACTGTAGTCTTTATACTTGTCAGGGTATCCGATTTTGACTCTGAGTGTGCCTGGGTGTGTGTGTGTGTGTGGGTGTGTGGGGTGTGTGTGTTGTAGGAGGGGTATGCACAGATATTTATAGTCGATATGTAGAGATAGTGAGATGTTTATAGTCAGTACACAGAGAAAGTTACAGATATTGATTGAGAATATAAAGTGATACATATGGTCCACGTTCACAGATTTGCGGAGATATGCACAGTCTATGTTCGCAGATAGACACAGATGTTTATAGTCAATGTATACAGATGTGCACAAATAGCTATACATATTATACACCGAAGTAACCACCCCATGGACAGGCTCAGCAATGGCCCATTGGACTACTGACTACACGAAGGAGACGATAAATAGATATACATCAAGTGCACTTGTATGTAGTTAATTACAAATACCCACACACCAATACATTTGTATGTAATTGAATCAAATACACCCCTCGACCCAACTCACACTAATCAATAGACTTGTATGTAATTAGCTACAAGTATTCACACACTAGTTAATACGCTTGTAAGTAATTAGTTACAGGTACTCACACACTAGTTAATAGACTTGTAAGTAATTGATTACAAATACTCGCACAATATTTAAAACACTTGTATGATATTCAATACCTATACAACCCTCAACCCCACTCACACACTATTTAAATAACGTGTATGTATTTAGCTACAAATACTCACACTAATTAATAACTTGTATGTAATTAACTACAAATACTCGCACAATAATTAATACACTTGCATGTAATTAATTGCAAATATTCACACACTAAGTAATACACTAGTATGTAATTAACTACAAATTCTCACACACTAATTAATACACTTGTACGTAATTAATTAAAAATACTCACACACTATTTAATACACTTGTATGTAATTAATTACAAATTCTTACAAATTCTCACACACCAATTAATACACTTGTATGTAATTAACTACAAATACTCACACACCAATTGGTACACTTGTATGTAATTAATTACAAATACTCACACACTAATTAATACACTTGAATGTAATTAATTACAAATTCTCACCCACTAATTAATACGCTGGTATGTAATTAATTACAAATTCTCACACACTAATTAATACACTTGTATGTAATTAGCTACAAATTCTCACACACTAATTAATACACTTGTATGTAATTAATTACAAATTCTCACACACTAATACCCAATTTAACCAGCGCGGCTGTCTTGGTTTCCTGTGACATCCACGGCAAGTCCTGTTTGATCATGTCTTTCAGTGAGGCGATTACCCTATCTACCAGCTCAATCATGGCCCGTTTGGATGTTTCGGGGAAGTGATGTTCGCAGTAGACCTGATTTTTATAATCAAATAGGCCAAATGTTTGGTTTAGCAGGTGGTAAACGGGGTTGTACACCTTGTTGAACGAAGTGATTTTATCAGTAGACCTAATTTTTATAATCGAATAGGCCAAATGTTTGGTTTAGCAAATGGTAAATGGGGTTGTACAGCTTGTTGAGGGAAGTAAGCGATGTTCGCAGTAGACCTAATTTGTACAATCAAATAGAATATATATATTATCTACATACAGGTAGCTTATTAGAAAATCTAGAATCATTACACACGCTAGTACCTTCGAATAGACCGGTAATCGAGTAATCTAATACGTGACACACCTTGCCAAGTAGTTCACCGATCTGTGAGTCAATAAAGCCTAACATTTTCTTCCATCGTGCCTCCATTTGCTCTTGACCCTGTTATGATAGAAAAACGATCACGTGTCAGGATATAGATTAGTATATAGACGTATATATATATATATATATATATATATATGTGTGTGTGTTTATGTTTATGTATATATAGCCGCACTACTCGGCAATGGAACAAGCAGAATAGAGACATTTGAAGTGCACGAACTTGTCTATTCACTGAAAAACACCTGGATTGCGTGGTATATGTATCTGGATAGAACATAGTTCAAGTAAAATTTTCTTCACCACCCTGCTACAAACCAGTACAACGAGGTGCCTGTGCCATTACCATGGCAACGGCCGTTCGATAAGACAGTTCCGAATGGTTTGGTAGTATCGATCCCAAACTAGTAGGGTTTTAGGGTTTTAGGGTTGTAGGGGTTTCTAATGTTTGATCGAAGGGTTCTCATTTGAGGCACACCAGTTCGGTACACAACGCACGAGACATGCCAACGAGTCTCCAACTACTAACCTCAAGGAGAAGGATGTATAGAGCACCATGTTGCTTATAACGGACAAAACGTACATGTGCTGTTGTTGATATATGCACGCTCCCATGTTTGATACGGGCAGGCACTGTTGTTACCTACCCAGCCAACCCAAGAAGACTACGCCAAACGTCTATAACAAAACCCAAGGGCAACACTAAATACACACGCACTCATGTTTAATACATACATGCACTGTTGTTACCTACCCAGCCAACCCAAGAAGACTACGCCAAACGTCTATAAAAAAACCCAAGGGCAACACTAAAAACACACCCACTCATGTTTAATACATACATGCACTGGTATTACCTACCCAGCTAACCCAAGAAGACTACGCCAAAGGTCTATAACATAACCCAAGGGCAACACTAAATACACACGCATTGGCAACGTACCGTTAACGTTTTGCCAAAGAACTCGAAATCCGCTTCAACAAAGGCCGAGGGCAAAAACTTGGCAAAGCTCTTCAACACGTGCCACCGCGTATAGTGTTTCCATTGTGATACGTTAACGTCAGTAACAGCCAAGCATGCATAGGTCAGATGTCTGAGGGGGATGAGACAGAGATATGAAGTAAGGATAAAAGAACGTATATGCAAGGTATATATATATTTACAGACATATGTACAAACATATAGA